GGTATAATTTTTTTTAACTTTGTGTTGTACTGAATGTATAGTATAGCTGTAACTTTATGAGTATAATTAAATTTATTATATTATAATATATTCTCGATAAAATTTTATATGATTTGATATGGTTTGTTTATAACATAAAAATGTATGTATGAAATATTATGCCTATTATGTAATGCAATATTATAATAACTTATTATGAAGCAATATTTTAGCGCTCTTTAATTAAAACTTTTTAGCTATGCCTGTTTACTTTTACAGCTTTTGAATTAAATTCCGTCAGAGTATACGTCCTAGGCATATTACTTCAAATAAAATACGGTTTAATGTCTGAACTCGAGTCATAAAGATTTTTATTACTAACAATATATTTTTTTTAAAAGTTTGCATTGTACTGAATGTATATTATAGCCATAACTTTATTAGTATAATTAAATTTATTATATAACAATACATTCTCGATTAAATTGTATAATGGTTTATTATGCCATAAAAAATTTAGTATAAAATATTATGTCTATTATGTAATATAATATTATAATAACTTATTATGGAGTAATCTTTGAAGTATGGAGCACTCCTTAATTGAAATTTTTTTAGCTATACCTCTTTACTTTTGAAGCCTTGAAATCCGATTCCATGGAATGTATACGTCGTCAACATATTTCTTCAGACATAATATTATTTAGTACATTCAATATTATAATTATGAAGATATATTTTAGAGCTCTTTAATTAAAACATTTTAGCTATACCTTTTTACTTTTGCAGCTTAGGAATTCGATTCCATGGAATGTATACGTCGTCAACATATTTCTTCAGACATAATATTATTTAGTACATTCAATATTATAATTATGAAGATATATTTTAGAGCTCTTTAATTAAAACATTTTAGCTATACCTCTTTACTTTTGCAGCTTAGGAATTCGATTCCCTGGAATGTATACGTCGTCAACATATTTCTTCGGACATAATATTATTTAGTACATTAGTACACCCAATATTATAATTATGAAGTTATATTTTAGTGCTCTTTAATTAAATTTTTTTAGCTATACCTCTTATAAAATACTTTTGAAGCTTTTTAACCCGATTCCGTGGAATGTATACGTCGACATATTACTTCAAACAAAATACGATTTAGTACAGTAATACATATATTATTATAATAACTGATTTTGGAGTTATATTTTAGCGCTCTTCAATTAAAATTTTAGCTATACCTCTTTACTTTCAAAGCTTTTGCATCCGATTCCGTCGAACATATACGTCGTCGACATACAGAGAAAATACGATTTAGTATATAAATACATACAATATTATAATATCTTATTATTGAGTTACATTTTAGTGCTCTGTAATTAAAAAATTTTAGCGATACCTCTTTACTTTCGAAGTTTTTGTAACCGATTGCGTCGAACGCATTAGTCGTCGACATGTTACTTCAAACGAAATACGATTTAGTGTCCGAACTCGAGTCATAAATATTTTTATTACTTCCAATATAATTAGTCAGGATTGAGCTATTAGAATCATAAACATTGGGATATCGTATATGAGAGAAAAATTCCTATTATTTCATTAACAGTTATTCGCAATGTTTGTTTGCTTTCTTTTTACCTTTATTGCTAAGTATTCTTTTTTAGAAGCCGCCTAAAGAAATAGCTATGTTTATGGCAATAAAATAAGTTTAAGTGCTAAATTTAGCATCAAAAAAATTTTTTTACTTTGTTTTGTAAACCAGTCCTAAGAAGAGTGAACGTTTTATTTCCGGTCTACATTATCAAATCATTTCAATCTTATCATTCATACAAAATTCTTCAAAAAATGTCCTTTCTTAATTAAATGCTGAGAAATGCTTTTTTTTTCGTGTAAACTAAATTTTCTAATCTGTTGCTGAAAGAATCTGTTTCGGAAAGAAATATTCATAGAAAATAGATAGACGTGTGTAATTTCGTCTCTTAAAAACCATTTTTTAAATATCTTCAAACTGTGAAGGTTGAAACATTATGTGTGTCAATAAAAAAATAATTAAAATCCTAATATTTACAATACAGCACTATTACAGTACTTTTATTTTTTCATAATACAATTCTAGAGGATTAATTGTATTTTCTAGTTTATCGCTATACTGTGACAAAATAGAACAAACTTTTTCGGTAATCTTAGATGCTAATTAAACCTTGTTCTCGTCGAAGTTAAACCATTAACTCGAAGAAAATAACATTAAACCAATCTTACGTAGATACCTGAAATCTCCACAAAAAAATAATGAACCAATTTCTATTTAAATCGATTTTTAGTTTAACAGTGCCTTACAGTAACATTAATCATTGATTAAAATAATGCTTCTATAATGACTACAGTAGCATTAATCTAATCAATTAGAATGTATAGTAATGCATTATTATATGCATAGAGTAATAATTAAAATGCTTATTTGCTATAAAATTGATTTAAAATGAATAAACTACTTTTATCAGTAAAATTAATGTGATTAAAACTTTGTTCTATTGTTTGTTTGTTTATTTCAACTCTCTCAGCTTTTTCCGAAGTTTTTACGTATTTTTTTTTAATTGAGAGTGTTTCTACATTTTACTTATTAATTTTTTGAATTGATTTGAAATTCTAAGTAAGAATAAAATTTAAAAACACTCCAAGAGATAATATAAGCAGTTTTCATTCATCCGAACAAATATTTTGGAAATCTATTTTTTTATTAGCGGAATTCGGTGCATAAAAAAGTCCTGAAAAAAATTTTCAAAGTCTTGACTTTTCTTGAATTTTAAAAGAAGATTTTCAAAAAGTCAAATAATTACTCTTCTCAAAGAAAATTTGCTTTTTATTAATTGAAATCTCGCGTAAGTCTTATTTGAAACTTTAAAAAAATGATTGAACCTTTTTTATTGATATTTAACCAATACCAAAAAATCTTTCTTTTGGAAATGTCAACAAAGTCTCACAGCCTCTGAATCTTGAGAGATTAGTTCATGTCGGTCACATCAAACAAAATATTTTGAAAAAAAAACTGTCAAGAAATATATAGATTTTTTGTTAGAAAACTTATTAAGGAAAACACTTATAAATAATGGTTTTAATACAGTTTTTTTTTTCAAGAAAATTATAAACTAGCTAAACTTTTTAATATAAAGACAAAAATACATTACCTTATGAAAACTGCATTAAATGAGTTTTACTAAAAATAATTAATGACATAATCTCATTTTAGCTATTTTGGACTCCCATTTAGAAAAAAAGTATGGTCAAAACTGTAAAAAATGGTAAAATTTATAGCGTTTCTGGCTCTATGGGAACACCCAAAAGCTTGGTAATTTTTACTAAAGCCCTTCGGTAATGATTTCGGTAAAATTGACAATGAAATGTTTTAAAGTCTGTGATGAAATTTGCTAAATTTGATAATACTTTCATGATACCTAAAGGCACAACATAAAAACCATTTATTTGGTTAAATTTATTTATCACTTGTCAATTTTTTACTAATATGGAATTTCCGGAAAACCATTTCCATTAATTGCTAAATAAATGGTTTGAATGGTTTTTCGATCAGAATTTTCACAACATATGAAGCTTTAATTCTGCAATAAAAGAAACTAACAAAAACGGTTTTAAAAAGAAGACTCAAAGAAATAATACAAAATCCGAAACTATGACACAAAATATGAAAATGTAGTTATAAATAAAAATATGTATTTAATGTTTATAATACGTTCTTCTAAAACTTATAATAATTAACGTGTAAATTAATATTTAGTTATACATGAAAATAAAAAAGCACTTAGTAATTAATCAAGCGTGCTTCAATATTTAAACAACAGGTAGATTTAAAGGAATAACTGATGTAATAAACAGGCAGCATGTATTAATAAATGCATGCAAGTGTTAAAAAAGATATAGGCATAAATAAAACATTTAGTGATAAAAAAAACACGCTTTAATAAAGAAATAACATGTAGTAATAAATTATCAACGTGCAATAATTAACTAAAATTCATAAAGTGAACTTAAATAAACGGAGAAAAATATTCGGGTAAAATTATTGTTCTATATGGCTATAATTCTGGTTAATAAAATCAAAATATACGATATTTACCCATTCATTTGATGATTTTTCCGGTCATATGATAACGGTCACTCGGAAATTCTGGTTTTGAAAATTTTAGTTCTAGTTAACACACATTTAGTAAAAAATACAAAACTAAAAAGTAAATTTAACCGAATTAATGGTTTTTATGCCATGCTTTGAGTTATCGTGATAAAATGTGTAAATTTAACCACATTTATCAAATTTTATAACATATTATAAAACCGTATTTTATTGTTAATTTTACCAAAATCATTACCAAAGAGCTTCGGTAAATACTACCGAGCTTTTTGTTGTCCCCCATAGAGCCAGAAACACGGTAAATTTTACCATTTTTCTATAGTTTTAACGTTATTTTTTCTCTGTTTATAAATTAATGAAGCAAAGCAAGAAAAATGGAAAAAAATATATAACTTTTTTTTCATTGCATGTGCGAATTTAACATTTTTTAAAAATTTTGACTCATCATTGAAATATTTAATTTTTCTCCAATGTTAAGTAAATGTGAGTTGGCTCTATTATATAACACTGATAGAATGACTTTAGAAGCTTAATTAAGAAAGGCATTAGTGTCTTAAATGACACTAATGATGACACTAATATATGACATTGAAAAACTTTAAATTCAATCATTTCGAAATCTTCTTTATAGTATTATGCAAAGGATACATGCAGGGGACAAAAGTTTCAAACACTCTTCTTCTCAATTCCTATTCCTTCGGATAAATTAGCAAAATGATTTATAATCCAGGTATAAGCCAGATAATCATAAATTAACCAGATAATAAATTATCAACATGATTTATTAATCTATGCCAACTATAACATTATATCATATTCCTATTAATGTTTAAACTTGTTTCGGTGACATGACTGATTGTATTTATGTATATTTCAGATGATGTATATGCCTGTTGTCTTGTATGCTCCAGCTTTAGCTTTGTCAGAAGGTGAGACCTCCATTACCTTTGTAGAATCTTTTTATTAAATCTAACCAATTCATTTTAATGGTTTTAAAAATTTATTTTGAATGAATTTACAAAATAAAAAATTTATTTAAGCTCTTCCCTTTGCACTTTTCAAAAGCAATGGGAAACTATTGTAAAAGAAGAATATTTTATTCAGAAAATTTAAAAAAGGTTTAATTGAAGCAAATGTAACAATAATTTTAACTTTTCTTTAGAACGCAGTTAAAAGTATCTCTTTACAATTTGAAGAAAAAAAACTGAAGGAATGTAACTGAATGTTAATTAGAAGTCATAAATAAAAAACATTCGGAAATGTCTGTGTTATTTTCTTTCACAAAAATTTTCTTTCATTACTTATTCTTCGGATAAAATTAAAAGCAAAGACTAATTGACAAAACGCAAATATTTTTTTTAACTGTGTAAATCACGTATTCTGTTTACTAAGTAGTTAAAAAGAAATACTCTGTGTGAATTGTAGAATAAAAGAAAATAGATTTAAAAACTTAAATTCTAGACATGTAGATAATTGTTTTATATTTTGATACCTAATAAGAACAGGGTAATTTCTCAATTCATAAACATATCGCCGTACCTGACCCTCAGCATGTAGGTGAGGGTTGAAATATAGGTTAAATATGTTTTGACATATTGACAGAAACATTCTGATCCCCAAAATAGCATGTGCAGCCTTTACTTATTTATTTATCCAAGAGGTTTACACCATTAATCATATAATGCGTCCATCACAACAATTTTATAAATATTAATTTTAATTTTTTTTATAAAAAAAAGTACCATAAGACAATGTTTGACTGTTTTAATTATTTGATACTGTATTTTTTTGTCATATTTTCAAAAATTTAGAAAATATTTCACTGGCAGTTGATCTGAATAAAAATGCTATATATACGGTTAATTTTGAAAAACTGTTTTCAGCCAGGTGTTTTAACCTGACATGTTAGTCCTTAAGAATTTTCTAAAGAATAAGAAGTTTCTCTCATCTAGTTATTTAGCAATAAGTTATTCGTGGTCATAGAAACAAAATAAACTAGAATTAGTTAAGTAGTTTATTAGCATAACATGTAATCCTTTTTTTTTAAGTGTACTTAAGTTTAACCCTGAAAATACGATAATTACAACGAGTTTTCAAAAGTAAAAAAAATTTCATATCGTTTTTTTAATTCTGTGGATTCCAAGTTTCCTTATGTTGCAGTACCTTTTGAAAAACTTTATTTACCAAAATTCAATTGTCTAAGTCTAGAAGATCATTTAAAGATATTTAAGAGATTGCACAATTTTCGTTTAAACATCGCGTTACTAACTATAATTATTGATAACTGCTTAAACCTTAAAGTATTTTGAAAAATTTATAAAACATACTTTTTTGAGTCAATATGCATTTTTAAATTATAACTAAAAAAAATAGCGTGTAAAGCGCAAAACAAACATGCCCAGAGGATATTTGGTAAGACCAAACTTGGACATTGGTAAGTATAAATTTCTGCTTTTTAAGGTTCTCTTAGCTTTCCGGTTCTTTTTTATTGTTATTACTAAACAAAAATATGCGTGCTAATGAAAGCAATTTGTAAAATGTTAAAAAACTGAATACTCTAATAAGTCTGAATACTGTGCTGTAAAAAATACTGTAATATAACACTGAATACTATATTAATCTATAATAAAATATTTTAAAATCTAATTAATATTATAAACCTTCTATCGTGTTACACTAGTTGTACTACTTTACTAACGAAAAAAACTATTTGGGTTGGGAGTGAATTTCTCTGAAGTTATAGTTCATTAAGGTTTATACTAAGTCATAAAAAGTCAATTTAAATAATTTTTCCACTTTTAGTTTTTGAAAGTCAAGTTAGTGAACATAAATACAAAAATACACATTACATAAATTGTTGGTTTTTTCAGTTACTGGAATAAACTTATGGACAGCTATTATATCCCTTGGATTAGTTTGCACTTTCTACACAAGTATAGTAAGTAGCTGCTAAAAATATTTACATTTATTTCAAATTATATATATCTCGATAAAATGTTCAAAACTATTAAGTTTAATTCGTTAAGTATGGTTTTCCTTGATACTAATAGTATTTTAGTTGATAAAAATATGCAATTCAGGATTTTTAAAATTCAAAAAAGATTAAGCTTAATTTTTTGAAACATTGTTATTTCTTCTTAATCACTTTAGCTGAAGCAAAAATATTTCCACAGAATTAAAAATTTCTTCAATAATCGAAAATAATGATTTTTTTTTGCCTAATGAAAATTATCTGCATTAGAGAATATTTTCAAAACTTCAACGCTAATTGGATAGGACATAGTTAACGGCTAACAAAAATTAAATTACCATCACTTTGAACATCATGAAAAGGAAAAGTGAAGAATACAAACCTCCGATTTAGAATTTTTTTCTCTTGAGTAAACTTCTGGAAGATTCTTTTTTACATATAGATAGATACCTCTGAAGAAATCTATCTGAAAAGATTCATGAATAAAATTTTAACTTACTTTAGATTTTTCAAATTTTAAAGTGCGGTCTTAAAGTGAAATGTTTTTTCCCTACAATGGCTAAGACACTTTTACTAAAAATTAGTCTCTAGGAAAAAGTAATATTATCGAGTACCGGTTCTCAATTTTTTTCGGCTTCGGAACCCTAAAATTAATTAGCCTTTTTTCGGCGGTACCCTAAATTTATGTATAATGTTTAAGGTAATTGAGAACCTTTTGACCTCTAAAAAATAAATGTATTTAAAATATTTAATTAGAGGAATGAAGATTTTTCATCGTTTTATCATTAAAAATCTTAATTTAGGTTTCATACCCGACAATTAAATTAAAAATAAAATCCATATTGTATATGGTTAGCGTCGTTTTTATCCAAAACTACAAAAAACTAAACACTTGTGAAATTTTACTCTTTTAAAACACTTTACTTTTTGAAATCAATTTGCAAATGTATAAAAAAAACATGCTGATAACAAAATAAATGTTGGTTTTGAAACAAAATTTCAAATAATGATAAGTATAAAAACAGTTTTATACATGCAGGATATTATCCATACAAACTCAATCATCTTGTAAATGTATTACTTGTACAAATGTAATCAGAAAAAAGCTAAAATATGATAATTGTTTAGATTTGCTTAAAATTAACAACAAATCAATGTCTGCTTGCTCTTTTTAATATTTTATATATTTAAGAAAACAAATCAAGTACCGTGCTTTTCTACATACTATATACATAATTTGGAGTGAAAAAAATGGAATGATCAATAAGCGATTTTTCTCAAATTTAACAGTTTGAATACCACCTTTATTATGATAACTTGACTAATTTTGTTGAATATGGTAATACAACAAATAGTTATTTAACCATTTTGTCTGAGAAATTTCTAACAGTGCTATTATTATCATTATTATAACAAATGAATTCAATATGATTGTTTTATATGTGCTTGCGTTATGATAAAATATGTTAACATTTTATTGTATTCTGTCAGATGCATTTCTTCTAAAACGGAGTCAATCCATATTTTAAAAAAAAAAAATTTTTGTGTGTTTTTGAATAGGGTGGCATGAAAGCAGTTGTGTGGACGGATTTCTTTCAATCCATAATGATGTATATATCTATCTTAGTCATTCTGATTAAAGGAACTTATGACATAGGAGGGTTTGATGTCGTGTGGGAGCGGGCTCTGAAAGGAGGCAGAATAGAATTTCTTAAGTAAGTCCAATTTTTTTTTAAATTAAGTTTTATTTAAACAACTCAACACGGCTGTTTTTCGAAAGCTCCGTAATAATATGAAAAGATGCTTTTTTACAAATAATATGCTATTTTTATAACTGATGTAAGTTTGCAACTGTTACTCATGACTGTTATATCAAGTTTAACCTAACTAAGGAGAGCACTGGCTATTTTTAAAATGGCCTTTTTAAAATGGCGCAAAACGTCACTATGGAGAAAAACCAATAGTTTTGTGAAAATAAAAAGCGTTTGTGGTCTAGTTTCTTAATATTTAAAAAATTACTCCAATGCTGCATCATCTGGGCTCATAAAAATTTGCAAAATCTGAGAATAAAGTAGTGATTTTGATGATTTTCATATAAAAGGAAAATGGTCACCAAATTGGTGATTTTTAAAAAAGTTTAATTACTTTTAAAATATTTACGTTATTTGTTTGTTCTAAAACCCATATAATTCTTCACTGCAAGATTATATAGTTTAATATCATCACATTGCTTCAAGTGGTAAGGCACTTAAACTATGGCTTTTTTATTTTCATTGACGACAGAGCTTCGAAAAATAGCGTTTTAGGTCTAAACTTACAAAAGATTTGACCATGTTTGTAGCTCTCTTTACTTTACTTGTTCTCTACTTTTTACCAACTCGATTATCCGAGATAACAAAGTTAGTTTTACATATTAGTTTATCATACATATTACATACTATTATAAAATATACTATATCGAATCGTATACACTGTTATATTGGTAAATATGAAAAAAACTTATAATTCTACGTACAGTTTTGAATCAAACACGTATGTCATTGAAATATCATACACATCCTTTGTTAAAAGCTTAGTTGAAACTTTCAGCTTAGCTACTTTAAGTAAACAATTGCCAGATATTTATCGCAAAAAAAAAGCTCACCTTGAAAGCGATAAAAAAAAACTAACAGAAGCTCTTCTTGCGTGCAGTAGAACAAAAACAAGAACTGAACTCTCAATTCATGATTAGAATTCAATAAGAATCATGCAAACGATGTGATAATGGAATAAAAAAAATGCTAAAAATAATTATGCTCAAAAATATCCAAACGATAATTTTCTGATGCAATACTTTGCACCCATGCTGACAACAGATGAGAAACACAAGGAACAATGTATATTGGATTTAATAGCACACTCAGAAAATTCAGTTCAGCCTTAAACCATTATGTTGTTCAAATCTTAATAAGGTGCTAAATTGGACCATAGCTCATTTTAAATTGTATCATGGTATTGTGCTAGAAAATTAAGATGCATTAACTTACACCATTTTTTGTTTTAGCTTGGAGGTGTGTTTAGGATGCAATAAAATTTGATGATATTATAGATCACCGTGTTGCAAAATTACTAACAACACCTTAACAACCGAATTAGGATACCCACGATACGACATGCCGACTCTACGTCACTTGCAGGCATCCCATTATTTATTTTCAGTAAAAATAGGTACTTCTCCATTTCCCCGGCACAAGCAATCTCGGCTATTTTAACTATTTATTTTTTTTAAAAAAAGCACGCCGCTTGAAAAATTTCAATAAATAAATATATAAAAAGAATTTGAATTTATTTGCATTCAGTAACTCTGCATTGGCGACTTCATCGCCAATGCCGATGAAATGGAAAAGTGCCTAAAATGTTAATTTAAAGAATAAGCCTAGTGTGACGATGGGGGATATAAAAAAAATTCTAGTAAAATCACACTGTATTAAATCAAAAAAATAACACTGTATAAAAGCAAAAATCTATAATACTGGTAAGTAAAATCAAAATATACGGAGCTTAAACCATTTATTTAGTAATTTCTCCGTTCGTATGGCAATGGTTTACCGGAAATTATGGTTTTCAAAATTATTGTTCTCATTACTACAAATTTAATAAAAAATTGAAAACTAAAAAGTAAATTTAACCAATGTCTTAAAGTATCATGTTAAAATCACCAAGTTTTACTGTATTTATCAAATTTTATCACATATAATAACACAATATTTTATTGTTAAGTTTACAAAAACCTTTACCGAAGCGTTTTGGAAAAAATTATCGAGATTTTTGGTGCTCTCATAGAGCTAGAAACACGGTAAATTTTACCATATTCTGATTATTTTGACCATACATTTTTTCTAAGTGTAAAGTCCCTACAGTAAAACATTCTCTATCAAAAATGCTTCAACTTTCTCGCTTAATTTGAAAAAAATATTTAATTTCTGATTTAAAAAATTATCATCAAAAAGGTATAAATTTAACTCAGAAATAATGCTTATCCTAACGTTTAAATTGTAAAAACTCGTATAAAATTACTAAACTAAAGTCAACTTTATTTTTCAAGATTTTACTAGTTTAATTCTAACTCACTATCCTTAACTAGGACTTTATAAATATCATTTGCATCAAGTTGTTGTTTTTCAAACTGCCATTTGCAAATATCTGCAAGCCTGCTTGAAATCAGACAAATTTTTTAGGGCAAAAGGAGCACTTCTTGTTTTTCAGTGCGCCATCTATGGCCAAGAATGCAGTTTTACCACACACATACGTCACATTCCACTTTATGCGGACGTCTCCTCCATCCGCAGATCATAATTTTGACCTAAACCATACGCAGATCCGCAAAACCATAATTTTGACCTGACCATCCGCGGATCATAATTCTGACCTGAACCACCATCGATTCAATTCCGTACCCTCAGAGGTATTGATTTGTTACGGGAACTTGGAGAACTTTTTGACCCCGTCTGATTTAACGTGCACGAGTCACCATTTCATGCAAGGGGATTCTGGAGCTATTTGGGAATTTAGTACATAGGGATTCAGCCTACTGGATTCAAACTCCTATTCTCACGAGCACGAGTCCAACGTCCTACCAACCAGGCTATTCCGGTCATTTGTATCAAGTGAAATAAGCAATTTCATCTCTTACACAAAAAAAAAATTTTATATATGTTACATATATCTGTTCTTTCTAGGTTCGATTTAGATCCTACAGTTCGTCATACATTTTGGAGCTTAGTGATCGGTGGATATATTACTTGGATGGGAAACTATGCAGCAAGTCAAGCGATGATTCAGAGATATTTAACCGTCGGCAGTCTAAAGGGTGCGCAAGGGTACGTATAAAATATATACCACTTACAGACTAGCTAGAATGATCAAATATCTATAAGACTCCATGTCTGATGACAATACGAGTTCGATAAGGTAATGGATATCGTTTTCTGACCGCTACACGCAGAATTTAAAATCAAATTGTCGCCAAACGAAATTTTATCGTCTTGATTACATTTCAACTTGTTAGAGCACTTAAATATCTTACATACACCGAAGAGCCGTTACATTATGACCACCCTCCATCTACAACAATGGGCTTGCCCAGGTTTTCATGTGGCACATTAGGACCCATAATCCTCATAGAACAATCCCTGGCGTCTGTAAACTACTTGAACATAGTTACAGACCAGGTTCACCCATTCATGGCAACAGTTTTTCCTGCGGGGGGTGGTGTTTACCAACAGGATAATGCACCTTGTCATAAGTGTCGAATCGTCGAGGAACATACCAGTGACTTTCAAGTCATGTCTTGGCCCCCAAATTCACCTGACCTTAATCCAATGGAGCATTTGTGGTCCTACTTGGAAAACCAAATTCGTGCTGATACACTACCCTCTCGCAAAGTGAGGGAATTGCAGGACCAGTTGGTGAGCGCTTGGTACCAGATACCCCAGACTACCTATCAGCACCCTGTGGTATCAATGCCACGGCGGGTGCTAACAGTTTTAAGGGCTGAAGGTGGTCCTACATATTATTAGCAGGGTGGTCATAATGTAATGGCTCTTCTGTGTATATCTGATGATAATGCAAGTTTCAATCATTTCTTCACCACTGCCCCCAGTCTGCAACGTAAATCCAAAGTTTGATCAGTTTATGATTTGTTAGAGTGTTCAAAATTAAACTGGAACTCTGTTTTGGCTTAAATACAAGTTTCAATTATTTCCTGACGGTTTAATTTCTCTGTTTAAAATGTATTTTCGCCTCTGAATATAACAATGAACTTTTTCTGTAAAAATTGTCATTATAAATGTTATGTTAATTTTGAAATACATCAATCATCCACCCATATAGAATAACAATAGACAGTGGAGCATTATTCGAGAAGGGTTACAAAAAAGTGTATATTTCATATTTTTAGATGTTTATGGATCAACTTGCCTGCGTTGATATTACTTGTTATGATCACTGGCTTTTCCGGGCTGGTCATTTATGCATTCTATCATGACTGTGATCCTATTGGGACAAATCTTATTCAAGCTCCAGACCAGGTAGATATATTTAATCTGTTATCATTTAACAATGTAATACCATTTCAAGTTGCAAGCAAGTAATGAGAACATACTTGAAGTATTGTAAATTGATATACACCAATCTAATTGCGAATAGTTAGACCTTGGCGAGACCATGGCGAGTTAGACCTTGGCCAAGAGTTAGACTATAATATTTTACTGCTATGAAACTTTGAGCATCAGTTTACATTCCTAATTATACATAAGGAATCGATATTTTAGCTTCATAAGATGTATTTCTCTGTTATATTTATGAAATGAGGATTTCTCTATTATATAATAAGGGTAATACTGGGAACGTTTACAAAAAAGCTTGTCTGTCAAGATAAATTTATTGATCGCATTATAAATAAAATTTATATATTTATTTACATTTATTTGTAGATTATTTTAGATGCTTCGGTTTTCAAAATGGGCACTAAGATAAACTTGGTGCAAAACATACTCGCATGGTCTATGTCGTACGACTTTTCTCTCTGATTTTCACAATATCTCGTAGAAAAGACAACGTCTTGATCGGAAGAAAAATTATATTTTTTTAATATTGTACTAATTAGCATTTTCTTTCTAATAGTAAATTTCTAATTACCGAATTGTTTAGCTTGTCAATCGAACCTTAAACCTAAAAATTTTCTTCCACTTACTTTGTTACACTTTATAACTGAAAAGTTGTATGGGTTTTATAGGGCAAGAAATTTTTTTTCTTTAATTAAGATTATGAAATTTTCCAATCTTGTATTTTTTATATTATGTTGAAAAATATCAGAGATGGGTCTATTCTCTTATATTTAAGATAAAAAAAAAACTAAACTAACAATAATAACTAAATTTTTCCTTTAAGAGTCTTAAAACTTTAACCGTTGAGAACTGATCTTTGAAGACTCGCTAGATTGTTTGAAATTTAAAGGTGTTGAGTCATACAGAGATGTCTAAGTTGACGTGTCTTCATTTACCTGTTCACCAAAAATCTATCAATGATCAATCCTTTAGCAGTAGCAGCCAATAGGAATACTTTTTACTTGTGACGTGAATGAAAATCGCCTAATAGAACACCTAGTTACCATTGGCAACCACAAAATTTCGACAATTGATTGATATATTCCACTCAAGTGTATAGTTCAGTCTCGGGTTCGGACATCTCTATTATGATTCAAATTTGCTGCGATTTTTAAATGATGCTAAGTTGAGCCATCCATATAATCTTACTTCTTAGTTTTGATTGCATGATACTATGGTTCAACTTTAAACATGGGTTTCATTTTACTCGTTATGGTTGAAGAGAATTCGCTCTGTAATATGGTTCAAGTTACCAATAATATGATTCAAAGTTTAACCGATTATTTTGGAATCTAGATATAAGTATCCTTGCGAAGAACACGATTTCTTAAAAACTAATACACCGATATTATTGAATTTTTAAACCCTTCTTTCTTACTGGAATTGAATAGATATTGAATGGAAAATTTTTTGAAAATTGGAAATTCTTAGTTATTTTTTTTCTTTAGAAGACTCTGTTTACAGAAAAATATGTTGTTGCTTTCTTTAAATCTTCACTAAATACACTTGTAGCTGTCCTCAACAACATCTCAGAAAAATAATCCATATCAGATTACTTACCACTTACTATATCCTGAGTAGAAAAAAAACTTAAGTTGTGTTAAGAGGCATAAACTAGTCCTGATGCTTAGGTGATGGTTTTAGATATCGTTAAAGCAAAGGTCCTCAAACGCTATGCCTTCAGGCACCACGGTTTCCACCGACCGTTTTACAACCTGTCAACCACTATGCGACCACAATTAAAATATTTCATTATTAGTTTGCAATAAAATGCTATGTAAAAGTATAATATCGAACTACAAATTCGTTCTAATAAATAAATGGTACCTACTGTCCAACTGGTATTCTAGAATGTGATCCTCTTACATGGAAAAAAAAGTTTAATACCCTTGCAATAAACATATAAATATTTCGTAGTAGATATGTCACATAATACAATAAAGGATAGAAAATATTATTCATATCAATAAATCCAATACATGTATTTTAAATTCGAAATTTTTTCAGCTATTTCCAAGATTTGTCATGGAAACCTTAGGTGCTTTTCCAGGAATACCAGGACTTTTTGTATCCGGTATATTCAGCGGAGCTCTTAGGTAAATATTTCCAATGTTGAAACATTTAAACGCTTGTTTTATTTAATTTTATAACTATATTCGCCTAAGCCTTTTTCAAGCCTATATTTTTGATATTTTTCTGGTTAGCACAGTGTCATCAGGAGTTAATTCATTAGCCGCAGTAACTCTGGAAGATTTCATTAAACCATTTATCTGTAAAGATATTACTGAAGTATGGGCAACAAGACTCACAAAATCTCTAGGTAAGATCTCACAGATACAGTTAGAGGAATTAATAAGTGTTTCTGTTCCATTAAAAGGAAGTATATTATGTTAAAATACATTTCCTGGTTCCAAAAACACATTGTTTTAATACCAGTATCGAGAAAATATCCTTACTGTGAAGGACGCGATAGTACGTATTTTACAGAAATATAAATGGAAAAAAAACTGTCCGTTAACCGATTGACCTCTTAAATCTGTTACAAAAGAAAATTAAATTCTCAAAATTAAGAAATTATTTAAGCAAGACCATGATTGTTATTTATTTTCGGAATACGGTTTGAGAAAAATATCTAGCATAGAATGTACAATTAATAAATTTAGTGTTTACCAAGAGGACAGAGTTAATAAAAAACAGGGTAAAAACTGTTTCTTCAGCTGCAGTATATAAGCAATCCTAACTATTTTCTATCAACAAGTTTCTTTCGTTAGTTTTGTAGAGCCTGTTCTGCAATTCCGAACGCATGTTTATCAGCTGCGCTCTTGGGTGATTAGAGTCAGTACGTGACTTAACACTTAAGTATCCGATGAAGTATCACAACAACACATCATGCAGGTCATTGAGAAAGTGGATTCCTCAACCAAACCATCTAATGATTTTGATTGAATAAATTGATTATAAACTTCCCTAACTAATAAATACAGAAAACAAAAAAAGAATTATTTCTTTTTAAAAATAAATTCCAAATGTCAGTTGGATAATTAAAGAATTTACATTTTGTAGTAAAACCCTCTTATTTTCAAAATAATTGAAAAAGCTGAATTTAAACATCAATTGGGATGCATTTCCTTATTTAGATGAGCAAGCACTATTGTTTCCTAAAGCGAATGTTAAATACTGAACAGAAAATAAAAAATGGACCAATAAAAAATAATAAATATTTACTAAAAGTTATATTTCGCATGGAATTATTGTATAAAATAATTTTCTAATTGTGCGCAAAATTTTTTCACCTCGTTAAAAAAATTTTCGAGATATGGTGAAATACGCAAAACGCAAAATTAACATTAAGGGTGTCTAACTTTGGACAGCTCTCCTAACCAAACTATTGGGACCATATTTCTCAGATAGCTGTCACCCCTTAAACTTCGAGGGTCACAAATCTTAATTCGTCGAAAAGGAGGTATGTTTATTCAGAGAAAGTATGTTTTTGTGTCTGATTTATTGTCTGAAAATATCGTCAGCAGTAAATTAAGCCATTAAGTTTGAGACCTTTGGATAAACGAATTTTATAATTGTGCGCAAAAATTTCTCAATTTCCTTTAGAAGTTCTTAAAATATGGCTAAATACGCGAAAAGTGAAATTAACATTACGGGGTCCAAACTTTAGATCGCGCTCTTGATCTTAGGATCCGACTACCTCCTATATTTTGAAGGTCAAAAATCCAAATTAATCGAAAAAAAAATAAGTTTATTCAGACAAAGTTAGCTACTGATTTTATATTTTAAAACATCGTCTACACTAATTAATTAGCATATTTGAAGCAGCATATCCACGCTTCGAACCGTTAAGATTGAGTCCTAAAACGTGAGGATTCGATTATTAGACCCGAAGTTATTTAGGATGGTCAGTTTATTTTTCTGCACACCTTACATTTAAATACACTATTTGACTATTTACATGAAATGCAGATACAAATAATAAAAGACAAATGTATGTAGATTTAATTAAAATTATTATTTGGAATAAACATTTTTAATTGTTTAGCATACTAGCTTTAACTCGAAGCAGGATTGTTATTAGATTTATTTTTCATACTTTTTACATTATTTTGTATTAATTTAGGTCAAAAATGTGAAAAATGGTATGAAATATAACATGAGACACCGGTGTCTTTTCCTGAGTTAAAAATAAAAGCTTCCAAACACGGCTCAAATCCTAACAATTATTTTTCAAATTTGCACTAATTTGCAGTTATTTAGATCGAAGAAAAGCAATTATTCATCATTGAAATTTCATTAATTTACAAAATAAATTATTGATAAATTTTTGATTATGTATGAAAAAAAAAATTTTTTCAAACTACTTTTTTGCAGTTTATATTTCAGTACAAATACAATTCCGATACTGTAACAGATTTCTTAGTAACTATTTTATGATTAAAAATTACCAAAACATATTTTTTCTTGCAATTAAAGCGTCTGAAAAAAAATATGTAAAAGGAACATTAGTGTCCCATCTGTGACACAGGATTAAACTTTTTTGGACCTAAATATTATGTTTTTTGAATTCACTTTTAAAAAATTTATAACAAAGAAAAAAATTAACATATATTTTTCAACTTAAGAAAATTCTAATATCCGATCAAAGATTTTCTGAACATTCAAAGTTATTGCAACTACAGCTTTCCCTTCACCTAGTGTCTCAATTTTATTTTAAAAAGAATAAATAAATACATTAGTAATGTTATTAGTATGTGAAAAAATGCGATGCAATTTCTAAAATATAAAATTGTTAGTCGCACTTATCAGATAGCATTCCGCTGTATGCATGCATATTTATAGTATTAATAAGAACTACTGTATTACTAATTCTAAGCTTTTTATTCCAGCTTTGACTTATGGATTGCTATCATTAGCTTTGGTTTTTGTAGCAATGCATTTGGGTGGAGTTTTGCAAGTAAGTAAATAATTCTAAGTAAAGCTTATTTGAGTAAGACAAGTATCTAAATGTTTACGAAATTTTATTATTTACATAATGACTTAAACTGAAAGCATTTTGAAACGTACCGGTGCATGAATTTTTTTAAAAATACAGTATGCAATACGAATCTAACGGCTTGAGCTAACCATTCTGTTAATGATCATTTCTAGTCATATATAAATTAAGGATTAAGGTCACATTAAGACAAGTTAACCGAGAGAGGTTGTCTTAGATTTCATTTCCGTAAGACACAAATATAGGTAAGCTTCACTTAACAGTTTTTCACAACTAGGAGTTTGTCTTGATATCCCCCCTCAAAATACTTTTACTCTTATCTGACAATAGTTGTTTTATGAGACAATATTTAATTGGAATTTAATGTTTAAACACCCATATAGTGCAAATGTGGGTAAGTTTTATTGAAATTTCTTTACGAACATATTTCGTGATGATATTTAACATTCAAAACACTTATACCTTTGTAAAAAACTGTTTGATACAATGATTAGTTGAATTTTAGAGTTTTAAAACAGACTTTTATTCTTTTAATATAAAATATGCTCTACGAGTCTGTTACCAGTATTTAACTATTACGAAGAACAACAAATTATTATTTTATTCCCCTTATTTTAGGCAGCTTTCACAATACATGGAGTTGTAGGAGGTCCGATGTTGGGAATTTTCACTTTAGGAATGTTTTTTCCATGCGCTAATGCTGTGGTAAGTTCTTGGAATTCATGATTTATATTTTATAATGCATTACAAATTATATTTTGACTTAAATAATGCCAATATTCATGTAAGCAATGTATTTTAAATTATTATCAATCATTATGATATTATGAATGATGATTGAATTATCAAATTAACCTTGATTCATTTAACCAAATGCAAATTATGACATTATAAATTGTGGTTTCACCAGGGTGCTGCTGTGGGTCTTCTGAGTGGTTTCGTGGTTTCTATGTGGTTTGGTATGGGAGCATTTGCAAGCCAGCCGTACACACCTGAAGCACCCAGATCCTATGAGAGCTGTTCTTACTACAACATTACCAGCATTGATGTGCAAAATATAACACTTGGCTACAAGTAATTTTTTACTGCAAAAAATCTTTATTTTGGATTTTTTTTTCTTCTTTTTAATCGAAAAAGAAGCCCTTTCTACTCAACCTGCAACCTATGCAAACATCTATATTTTTTTCGATAGCTATATTTTTTCTGAATTTCATTATTTTAGTTAAACAACGACAAAGTTCATGAATGGTTTTTCTGCATTGCATGTGAATATTAAAACAAAAAACTACTAGAAACTTTTTTGTAATTGGAAAATATTTCGCAACATCTAATAGAATTTTTTCAAATAAAGAACACATTAACAATTACGAAAATTGGTCTGATAACGGTTGATTATTATTTTTATCTGAATGAAATTTGCGAAATAAAGGGCATTCCAAATTCATGCAAGGTTTGAATTTCAAGCTGTTTGTGTAATAAAATGTTACAAACGAAAAAGTAAAGCAACTGAAAATTAAACATTTAAAAAGTAGTGCTGCGCATGAAAACAAAACAAAAAATTTCATTGTTGAATAATAATTTGAGCTGAGTCAAATCTTGTTACTATAAGTAGAGTGCTGTAAGAAAAAACAACGTGGCCCACGGGAAATTTTTTCCACTATTTTACTAGTTAATAGCTATAATGTTAATTCTTCTTATTCCATCATACCACCCGTTCTTTTTCTCAACATGTCTTCGTAATTTCATGAATTTTTAAGTTTTGTAGTGTAATAATAATTATTAAAATGCAGCGTTAAGTTGAACAATTAAAACAGCAGCTTTGTCACCTACGATTACTTAGTATATAGAGAAAAGTCTATGCCAACAAGCTACTAACAACCACGCTTTGAAAAAGGAAACTTGGTGCTATCTCAACGAAATTTAGAAATTTTTAAACAAACTGTCGTTTGACCGTTGAGTTCATTTTATTTAATTTAATTTAATTATTGATTAAATTTTGAAAAAAAGCATACGAAATATTCACAGTATGCCAGCAGAACTGTGGAGGTCATTGGCCCAATATTCAATTCCTTCATAAATCAATAAAGAATCCACGATTTTTGTGTAAATTTTGCGACATCATATACGTATACACTGCTGAAATGTAGTTTTGCCACGAGAAAAACTGTGCTCAACATTTGTACAGAAAAGAAAGAAAAGTTAGATAGATACCTTGTATGTAGTAATAAATGAATTGCTAAGCAATTAGTTCAAAACGACTCCAAGCCGTAAAACCCATACACAATCAAATTGAAAACTCGTCGCAACGGCGGCAACCGCCGCTACAGCACAAGAGACCTATAGTGATCCGTGGATTCATTTCGGCACAAGGCTCCAAAGCACGCACGAATTTAAACACTTCAACTGAAAAAATGCGCAAAGGAGACTCGCGAATATAAATAAATTGGTAGAATGATATTGATGAACGGTTCGATTAAATTATTATTCGTATATTCATTAGTTATCGTAACTTATACTTCTAGATATATTTGTATATTTTTAATTGAAGTCCTCAATATTTTCATGAGTTGGCACAAGTGCATGCTGTTGGCAATTATGCTGATAATTATTTACCTTTCTCATTCTCGTTAAAATCGCTTCTCGGAAAACAAAATTAAGATTTTAAAAATAGTTCAATAAAATTTGCATTTTTTTTTATAGTGGGCAACAAATTTTTTGTTGCATTTATACAAATACTTGATCTTGCCTAATTTGGGTGCGGTATTTCAAATTTATTAGTTTTCTCCTAAAGCTATAGATTTTCTTAAATGACATTTTCAGTTAATTTTTTGTCGAAATGCCGAAGTTTAAAAACGTTACATATAAAACTGAGGGTCACGTAAGTGTTGCGACCAACTTCTAGGAGAACTAGGATACATAATCGGGATTAAAATTGAATAGAAATTCCTGCCCGGAAATCCTGTTGTAAGCGGCTAAGGGCGCTTTCCATATATAACCTGTTCAGAAGCACACGAAGAAAGAGTTCTTACTAGGTAAACGCCCCCCAAACGGAGGTTGATGATATTTCCGGGATGGGTTCCTATGCTATTTTAATCCTAATGATGTGCCCTAACTTCCCTAGAAAATTTTTGCAATATTTATACAACCCCCTGTCAGGGTGCGTAGTCAAATTATCCAACAAAAGATAAGCACCTTTTAAGCACTTTTCAAGCACCCAAAAAATATTTTTAAGCACTTTAAAAAATAAAATACCATAATTAGGCTGGGTTGGAAGGTTTTTGACAATTGGCGGTTTCATTTTGTTTTAACCGTCAGGTCAAGAAGAAGAAAAAAAACCTTTTGGCACTTTTACAATTGTCCAAAATCATGAAATTTTGAATCATGTAAAATGAATGGCGTTTTCATACGCAACGGACTGACAATACGCCGAAATAGATTGGGGTTGCATAATTCAAAGCAAAAATCAACATAGTAAAGGAAAAATCTCATTACTGAAAACGGGAAAATAAAGCACTTTGTAAAAACACCCAATGAAAAAAGCACCTTTAAGGGCTTTTAAAAAACAAAAATCAAAAATAAGCACCTTTAAGCACTTTTTAAAAACTCTACGCGTCCCGCAGTGGACTGATCGTTAAGACACGGCTCCCAGCAGATCACCGAAGTCAAGCATCACTGGCTACGGTCAGTGTGCGGGTGGGTGACCACTTGGATCATTCTGCGTAGGGACCGAGGGTGTGCGGTATTGGTCCTCGTTAAACTGTGCTACCGTAAAGTGCTCGACTTCGCGCGCAGGTCGTCGGGCTACCGAAGCGGGGGTGCCATCCCTTCCGCAGAGGATCAAAATTGTGATGGCATGTCTTCGGATCATCCTCCGGGATGTTTCCCAGACCGTCGCCAATAGCCCATTGTGCAGCTCTAGTGCGACGTAAAGTAACAACAACAACAAAAACTCTACTCACCCTGCCTGCTATATGTAACGTTTTTAAATTTGTATATTCCGACATTAAATGGACTAAAAATAGCATTTAAAAAAAAAAGTACCTTGAGAGAAAAAGCGGTAGCATATTTGAAATCAGTGATATGAAAGTCAGTCAAAAAATCTTATGCAACAACAAAAAAATTGTTCCCCAGAGTTATTAATAACTTATATTAACACTATATGTTTCTTTTTAGCGATGACATTTTTCCACCCTATAAACTCTCCTACCTCTGGCTTAGTTCAGTAGGTTTCGTAGTAGTTTTGATAGTTGGATTACTAGTTAGCTTCATAACAGGTAAGTTATTTTAGTAACTACATCCGTATAGATTGTTTCATATAAAAATATTGATTATATCTGTTTTTTCTAGGAGCCACAAAAGGAGAAAATATTGACCCGAGATTGCTCTCACCAGCTGTAATTTGGTTAAGCAAATATATTCCTGGGGATAAATTGAAGAAAATAATTACAATAAAGAGAGAGAGGAGAGTGAGTATAACTGATTAACGAGTATATAATTATTTATGAGTTAGTGAGTATAAGTTTCATGAGTTAATAAATACAATTATTGTGCTTGTTCCAAAACAAATCATAACATTAATGTTCGATTGCTGCATTCTTTGTTTTTTAAAGTAGTCTGGCAACAATTTTTTTAAATTTAAGGATTTGTTTTATTATTTGAAAATAAATGTCATAAACTCTCTTTAAAATGTTTTAAAAAAACTACGCAAGAATTTGAAGACGAAATAAGCTTTGTTTCGAATTTTCCTCTCAGTGAATTTAATGTGATGCTGAAGTTTTGAGAGCTTTTCATTACTAATATTTCTTCTCAGCTCTGGTGCAGTATCTTCCTTGACAGAACCATAGAGTTCAACTCTATGGATAGAACCCTTGCGGTGACGAATCTTGATGTCATATTCCTGGAGTCGTTGCATCCAACTAGCAACTTGACTTTCCGAATTCTTAAAATTTAAAAGCCAGGTTAAAGAGTGTAGAATAATCATTTCGCTACTTTTTACTAGTACGTGCTCCATTCTAAAAATCAGGCCCATGTTATATTCTGCCTAAACCAGACTTTTAATAGTTTAGTCTGTCTAAACCAGGGATGGGCAAACTACGGCCCGCGGGCCAACTGTGGCCCGCCGGAAGGTTTTATCCGGCCCACGGACAGAATTTTAACCTGCCAATCCATGGCGAATATAAACAATATTCATTATTCATCCATTTACTACTTACTACGTCTACTTTGTTTAAAGCTATTTTTGTTCTTTCTTTTTTTTTAACAAAGTACTGATGACCTTTTCCCTTTTTCTATTTTTGTTCTACAAAACATAAATTGATGGAAATAGTTAGCACAGACAGCCTCAATTGGCAAAATGTTGAAAGCAGAAGTTCTTTTTAGAATAACCGTAGATTAGCTCCAACTAGTGTTTGTCTTTCCCGAGGAGCAGACATATGGAATCTAATATAGGTGAACTGTACTTCACAAGAGGCAGACTAAGCATTTTTAAGTTCCAACGAGCGGATTTTTGAGTTCTATAATTATTTACTGCGTATGGAAAAAATGCACACATACAACGTCATTGTAAATAATGGTGAAATTACTAAATGTATAAAATGGCTGCTGCTTTTTCGAGTAATTTGCAAAATTTTTTAACCCCAAAATGGCAACTAAAAAACGCAAAGTTGATGTAGAGTGCCATGCGTGCAATGATGAATTGACTTTATTTTATTTCAGAAGTTAGAATTTTTATTTTCGAAGTTTTTACTAGGCCCACCAAACTTTTTTTTTCTAGATTTTTGGCCCACGACTAAAAAAGCTTGCCCATCCCTGGTCTAAACCATAAAGAGACGTAAAAAATACCAATTATTATCACTTTATCATATCTCATAATTTTTAATAAAATCAATATTGTTAAACATTAGTTTTTCTATGAAACCAGCACCGATTAGCACTAAGATTATCTATTAATATACATAAAATTAGATAAAGCGTAGAACGGTTATAAAATTAACAGGCCAAACAAAACTAACACGAAAAAGAGCATCATTTAAAATGACCGAGCCAGTCACAGAGACTGTAAAACGGAAAAAGCTGGAAGTCGACGGAGAGTAAAATATTCTTGTCACCACTAGATAGCGTTCGATAAAATAGGTGCAGCAATTTCATTTCGTTAAATTAATTCTTATTAATTTCATTTTTTTTTAACTTTTAGGGAACTTCTCTTGCAACTTTAAGGACAACCAGTGTAATTAGTGACAATGACTTTTATCCATCAAAGAAGGCATCCATCTCATACATATCTGATTCAAAAATATCCTAACGTGGTTATACTTATTTAAGAAAAATATTCTTATCCCCTCCTCACTTCATTTCATTTCAAAAAGTTTAGGTAAAAACTGAGAAACGTAACAAATTATGTGTTCTGTTATGAACATATGAAAATAGGAAATAAAATCTATTATTTTTAAAGCTCTGCGTAATTTTTTTTTCCCAATTTAACACCAATACAAATTTTAAAAATTTCTGTACATTTATAAGATAGCATGAATTTTATTTTTTGTTAATAAAAATAAAAGAAAAACAACTTTTTCTAAAGTTCTCCATTATCATTCTAAACACTGCTGACGTCTTAGAGCTGAAGGACGTCAGGAAATAGATGAAAAATCAATCAATGAATTCCTTTTTTTAAAATGCATCAAGTAAAGTTCAAAAAAGATTAAAAAATGTATTTTGATCATTGAAAAATAAAGTTCGTTATCATATAGGGCAGTTGACCTAGAGAACTTCAACACTAAGTTTTAAATACAAAAAAAGAAAGAAAGAAAGAACCTTACTTCGCAGCAACAACAAGGTGCAATGAGAGGACAAAATTAACAAACACTTGGGCAAATATTTCCAAAAGAATGACCTCTGTGTTGCAGAAAACATCTTTATAAATTTTTCCAGTTTAAAGCGCCATCTGTAGATAAAATTTTATTATTTTGAAAATTTTATTAAAAAAAAATTTAAAAAATCCATAGTTTGCCAAGCGAAATGTAGCAAGCTTGTACATTTATTTTTTGCAACATTCAAAACAATCAATATATCTCATGTAAATGTTTTCTACATTATTTGATCAAGAAAGGGACCTTTTGATTAAAGAAATTACAAGATTAAAAGCATTTCAAAATATTGAAACAGAGGAAAATGTTGATAAAGTAAAGAGATTCAAAGAGAAAGTGAAAGACTGCACAAACCATTTCATTTATCTTTATTTACTTATAACATGTAACTATATTGCTTTTGAGCCTCCATAGTTATAAGCTGCAACACTAAGCTTCTCACAATAAGTATTATTAAACCAACAAACTGTAAATATTTCATATTAGTCAAATAAACACACACATATGTATAATAGCACTTGATTAGCATTGATTAAAATTTACACATACAATATGAAAATAATGATTAACTGATTAGTTATTCAACATTCCATTATCTCTTAAAATTTAAAAAAAAATTCAATTTACAAAGAAAAAAAGCATAATTATCAAAGACATGTTTTTCTTCAATACCATGTTTTTTTTATGAATAATAAAAAACTAAAGATAAGAAATAAAAGTTAAAATATACTAACTCAGCGATACTGTAATGATTTATCGTGACACACACAGTTGAAAGACTATTACATCTTATAAATAAATCCACAAATGCATCAGACTTACATGAGCGATATTAAGTAATAAAATTTTAATTAAATAGTATAAAAAAAAATTTGGAAAGCAGTAGATGCATAGGTAAGAAAATATAAGTTACAATTACAATGATAATAATTATTTTTCTTACAATAAAATTATCTTTTAAATTGATTTTTAAATGAAAAAATATCTTATAAAAATACAGAAAGACTCTTTTTCTCATACAGAAAGAATATAAAGAATATTCAAAACATTCCACTATACAATATTACATTCCGTTATAATATTTTAAGCATTAAAAAAAAATTTTTTTGTAAAAAGAGATATTACAAAATTTATCTCAATTCAAATTATTTAAAAAAATTTCCACAATTTTCAGTGGACTTAATGTAATTTAAAACAGGAATTGTAATATTTAAATTAATGGATAATAATTTATTGTTCGTAAGTAAAATTTTCTCAAAGATTACATAAAAATACTTCTGATTCTAATGAATAATTATTATTATTTTAATTTCTAGCTTAGTTCAATTTATTTTTTTACAAAGCTTATACCAGAATTCCAAACCTTAAATCAAGTCAATTTCGAACAACTCATCGAAAACTCTTTCTGTATGGTGTAAAGAGACATCCTAAAAAAAAGTTTTGACATAAAAATTATTAATAATTCATAGACAAACAAAACTGAAATGTTTTATTATAAACTTGCACTATATAGAAAAAAATCAAAACATTTATTTAGAAGATACTTTTTATTAACAAAACAGGGAAGTCTCGGGAATAGGAATCCATGGCTGCAAGGACTATGAAGCAAGTATGAAAATTTCTTATTTATCTTTAAAAGTTACTCCATAATGGAAAAATAATTTATTATAACAATCTGTTTAGTTGGAAAATCTATAAAATTCTACAAAATTTTCTGATGAAAAATTTCCTAGTATAGAGAATATCACACACAAATTTCTAAATAATACTGAAAGAGGTAAACAAAAAGGTTTGCTAACCAATCCTAATACAGGTAGTTCATATTAAAAATCCTCAACTGCTAAATCGCTTGAGGAATTATAGATAACATTCAATTTTCAGCACCTTCTATAAAACATTTATTTTTACTTTACATAATTTTGTTATAATTAAAAAGATAAATTTACTTCATGATTGATATGTAAATAAAATTAAGAAGGCACAAAATTTGACCTTATACAATTTTATTGGAAAATTCGATGTAATAGTTTCATGACACAGAAAACTAACTGAATTGAATGTCTGACATGTTAACCTTGCATAGATATGAACCTATTTTTGTCATACTTTTCTGTAGTTCTTCATGTAATTATAGTATATATTTGAAAATAAACCTTTGAAAATTCATAAATTTTACAGGTTGTCGCAAAATTTAAGCAAAAAGTAATTTTGATAGAAAAATTTATTATTATGATTTTTCTTACTGATACACAGAGTAAGATTAAGCGAAAATCTACGAATCCTACGTGTCTGTGCACCACAGCACTTAAAAAACGTAGCTAGCACACAATATTTTAGTAAAATTTAAAGCAAGAGCACAAAACTGTTATGCTACTTTTTATTCTGTAAAATCGCTCTAAAAAATTTTGTATTTTTCAAACCCTCAGGTGTTTGGAAATAAAGTAAATTGCCTGCCAGGTTTTGCTGACACAGACATACTCTTTTGCCAAAATTTTTAATTATTACTTTGCATGAATATGGTAAAATTACGTTGATATAGCAATCACTTTTCTCCTTCACAGCATAGCTGTTTATTGGCAAAAGTTTTATACTTAAAAAATCTAAGAAAAAAAAATCCTATAGCATTATACTGTATGATCTAAGCTAACGATTTCGATCACCAAAATGAGAAATTACTCAAGCAATAAATGACTCATCATTCAACAATATTGACTCAGCAATATATAACTATGTTGACCCAACATTGTTTAACAAAGTTGAGCCAGTTCTGTTGCAACATATTTTTCTGGAGAAAGGAACAAAATTTTATCGCATATATGATACAAACTTTTTGAACATCCTGTAAAAGGTTTCTGAAATTCAATAAACGGAAATAAAATCCGATGTATTCTTGAATATCCATAACAGGAATGGCCAACAAATTTTTTTGATAGACAAATAGGCCAAAACATAAGAAAAATTCTGTACAAGGCACAGATATATAGTTCTACTAATTAATATTTTAAACAAAACAGGCAATGGAAAATTTAAAAATTCATCTAGGGTCAGCCAATTGGATATAAAATAAATAAATAAATAAAGTCAGTAAAAACTAAATTTTAAATTTTGGTTTGGTTTTTTGTACAGCTTATTTACAAGACTTATTCATGGCCACTCCTGGTCTATTTTATATTTTTCTAAATTCTATTCAAAGTTTAGTAAATGTTTAAGTTTCTAGCAAGTTTCAATAAAAAAAATTCAGTATCGTAAAAACATTATTAGGATAGTTAAAATTTGAATTATCACATGGAATATGGATAATTTACAAAATTTCATGTTTAAATAAGAATAACATTCAAAAAAAATAATAATTTTTTTGAAAATAAAATAGAAAAAACATCACATTTTTAAAGTTTAGACAAAACACATAAATTTGTGAGAAAAAAATATGTAATGAAAAAATCTTTGGCACAATTTATAAAATTTTTTTAAACAAAAATGGGAAAAAATTAACATGAAATTAATTAATAATTAAAAAACTATTAAAAAATTTAAAGTTTTTAGTTATACGAACATTTTTTTAACACCTGTAATTATAATTTATTTAAAATTTTCCTTAATTCAATTTTTCTATTTTTATAAAATTACTTTATTAAAACTTCATATAATAAATAAATATATTTAAATAATTGAGGCATAATGAAACTCAATAAGGTTGAAAAAGATATAGAGTGACATATAAAATCGTTTTATACCAATGAAAATATAAATGCACAGACTTTAATTATTATAGCTTAAAAATGCAATGAATACATTCTTCAAGTTATTGGCGTTAATAATATAAATGGGAAAATTTTATAAATTAGTGTGAAAAAAGGTAAAGGTTGTTCTGAAATAATTGCACAATCTATGAACTATGTAAATTGAAGACAATACAATACATGTAATTATAATGCGTGTAGCCGTCTTGATGATAGATAGTCATAAGATAATAAAAAAAATATCAACATTAAACATGATTAAAAATAAATACAGTAATTTTGAGATAAGAATAAACCAATTTAGAATATTTTACTTTTTAACATAGATATTTCCCTACAGAAACTATTGCTAAAATTATAGTAACACTAGTGTAACAATATACAAAATTCTACAAGATTTCTAGAACAGAATCATAATTTTTCTTGCTTCCTGTTATCTTGTTGTAACTGAAGTTATTTTTTAACTAACTTGTTTAATTAGTATTTTTAATTATTTTATTAGATAAAACTAATTTTTCTTGAGTCTACTTATTCAAACTTCTTATAAAATCTTTGAAGAATAAAGTTTTCCTTAACAACAAACAAAAAGGTTGAATCTATCCTAGTGAAGAAAAACAGTAGAAACTTACTTCAGTTAATTTTTTAACTCTCAAAGACTTCTGATTTTCAGCAAAATTAAGCCTAATTTTTCCTGCTTCACTCCTTTACTTTTCTCATTGACCAAGATTTTTTAAAAAAAATAATAGTTTTTTTTTCTGTAACAGGAAAACCAACAAATGAAAATTTAATAGAAACCAGATATCGCATTCAGATGTTAAATTTATGCAACAATGGATGAGAAAAAAGAAAAAGGTATAGAAAAAAATTTTATGTAGTATTCAATGCAACTTCTTGGTTGGGAACTCCTATTTGGAAAATGTAGAGAACCACAACCCTGAAAAATAGCAGTTCTAATTCTAATTATAGTTTAGAAAACTGATGTTATTTGAAATAGTGAAGCATTTTTATTTATTATACTTTCTCTTTATGATACCCAATTATTAATAAAAATTGGGAATTAATTAACAAAAAAAAAAATAACTAAATGAAATAGAATATAATCAGAAATAAAACCTAAAAAAAATAAACCTATTTATTACATAGGTAATCCAGATCTAAATTTTAAAAAATTATTTTTAGTTACAATATAGTTCATTTAATTATTTTTAAAACTAATGAAGCATATTCAAAATATATATTTACAACATATTTTAGGAAAAAATTGATGCTGTAAAAAGAAATTAAAGTATTTAAACATTACAAACAGAAATAATTGTTTAAACATACATTGAAAAACAATGAAATAGTTTGCAGACTCTTAATGAATTAGGTACATTTCAAATGACAAATGACACATTAGTTTACACTGTAGGAATTTTTTGCATATATTCAATAAATATTGTTTCAGTTTTGTATAATAATGTGATCACAGAATATCAGTATATTATTTATACCTTAACAATGTAAAGAGCAGTGTTTCTCAACAACTGAAAGGCAAAGAAAGAAAATTCTCAATAAACTATACACCGGGAGTCATCATGCCAAAATAAACAACATTCTTAAAGTGTTGTGCGTACAAAATATATTAATATAGTAAAACAAGCTTTCTGAACAGGAAAAAAAACTGCATTGTAACAAAAACGCTTCAAAAAATTCTTTCTGTAGCAGAAGCAAGATAATAAAAAAAAATACTTTCACAAATTCAACATAATAGAAAAAATATTTTTTAATTACATTGTAAGTAATGTGTTATTTAAATACATTCTGTAAATCAAAAGTATTTTTTAAGAATTATTTAACAGCTTTAAATTAATATATGAAGCAAATTATAGATATATTAACAACATTAAGATATTATAAATGTTAAAAAACATAATAGTATATAAAATTGTTATTATTATTATAAAAAAGGAAGAGATTATCATACAATAAACAAAAAAGCAAAGTTGGAAATGAATGTATAGTTTAAATGCAAAAGAGTCAGAATCAACTACACAGCACCTAATTTATATAATTTACATTTTATATAATCTAGTTCAAACATTGTTTTAAACCATATCTGTAGCAAAAAAGGGGAAGAGAAAATATTAGATTACCTTGAGCAGTTACCTTGCTGTCCTATTAAGAATTTTAAAAAAGTCATTGTTATTAAAATTAAATTAAATTGTTAAAAAAATTTAAATTGTTAAAAAAAAAGTATTTGAAAAGTGTTGAGTTAAAAAAAATGTGGTAAATTATGATAAAATATACTTTAAATTTTAAACAAAATATATTTTCACTATCAGGACACATCAATAACTCAAGAAATTACATTTAGTTTAAAAGCTAATCAAGGAATTCACATTATAGCTAAATACAAACCTAATAAATTTTTATAAGAAAGGGACAGGGTGCACAGCCAAATTATTCAACAAAAAATAAGCACCTTTTAAGCACTGTTCAAGCACTCAAATAATATTTTTATGCACTTAAAAAAACACAATTAGGTAGGAAAGTTTTTGACAATTGACAGTTTTATCTGGTTTTAACTGTTATGTCAAAAAATAAATCTTACGGTATTGTTTTTGACAATTGTCAAAATTTTTTTAATCATGTAAATCGAATGGCGTTTTTATACGCTACGGACTGACGATATGCAGCAATATATTGGGGTTGAATTAATTGTTAAAACGTTGAATAGAACAATGTGAACAGCGTCTTACTGCATAACTTGTAGTGAAAATCAATATGGTAAAGGAAAAATCTCATTCTGGAAAAGGAAAATTAAGCACTTTTTAAAAACACCCCATAAAAAAAGCACCTTTAAGCACTTTTTAAAAACGCTATGCACCCTGAGGGAATTAAAGAGTGAAATTTAAAACCTAAATGCTTTCGAAACTTTAAATATAAATTGGCTACCACTCAATTGGATTTTTAGAATTTTTTTCCTTTTTTTTGGGGGGGGGGGATGTTTTTTGAGCACTGTGATCGATGATCGGGTTTTCGGAACACATGCTAACCTGAAAAAAGCATTCTCCCATAAGAGGTCTATAATAAAAAGATTATAGTAAACAATCAATAAATAAAGCTAATAGAATAAAGCTAATAGAATAAAGCTAATAGAATAAATCAAATTCTCACCCACAATGTATTAAGTACATGATTGTGTCAACACCATAGCATTTTAAAAAAAGTTGAGAAACACTGTACTAATGTAACAATATGATGAAAACGCATAGAAAAATATATATGTATAAACAATTTACACAAAGCTAAACACTAAAACTAAATCTATGTACAGTAAATGCTCAACTAAAATAAAATGAGCACAGGAAAAATTCCTTTTTACATCTAATGAGGAATGTAAATGAAAGAGCAACTAAAAAGCTTTTGTTTTAGACAGAGAAAATAGTAATTTATCGAGAATGCATGCAATAAGCACAACAAATGAAGTTTGCTTTTTTTTTGACTAATCATAAACAAGAAAATAAATAACAAATATATAAATAATTGTCAACAACTTTCAAGCAATTTCTTTTGTAGAAAATAAATAAAAATGAGAATTTAAGAGAAATAAATAAACACACCTTTTACACACCACAAATGCATTGATAGTGATTTGTACTTAGACTAATGAAGTATGGTTGAAAATCAGGGGTCAAAATTAGTGCTTCAGGAAAACAAAAGAAACTCAAGATCATAGGGTATATAGCTTAATATGATATTAAATATCACAACAGAATATGCTAGAGAGTAAATATCACAACTTAATATCATATTATCATTAATAACTTGAAATCCTAGGGGCTTATTTATAGTGCATTAAATTATGATAAGAATCACTTTCAGCAATTTCATTTTTAGATTATTATAATAAATAAACATAAGAGAGAATTTCAATGTTGTTTCTTGCTTTAGCTTGAGATAGTGATAGTCTTTAACAACATATGAATTGGATTAAAAGTATTTAAATTTTAATCCAATTCATGTGTTGTGTGTTTAATATTGTGTGTTCTAACCATATGTTTTAACCATTTAATTTCGTGATTTGGATTCCGAAAAGAACAAAAATACCATGAGGTATACAAATTTTAACTTTATTTATGCATTTCAATTTTTAAAAAATATCTTTTTATAAAATGCACTATTTTAAAAAAATAGTGAGCGTAAAAAAGACATTTATTATTTTTACAACATTTTAACAAATGAAGTATTACTTAACTGTTTAAAGCATACTAGGCCAACTTAAAGGTTTCATGGACAGCATTAACGTTAAAGAGGGTCAGGTTTTAAGTATACAGTAAACAACTTTAAATAAAAAGAATTTCAAAAAATATCATACAAACATTAAATGAAGAAAATTTTATTGTTATACTATAATTTAAATATAAATATTAAGCATAAATTAACGAGATATTCTTTCCTTCACTTTTTAGCTATATTTAAGTTCAACATAGCAGAACTTAATAAGTTTTCAAAATTTCAATCAGTTAATGAAGCATGATGAGGTCAACTCTATGTATATTTCACCTTTGGAAAAATAATTTGACATGTAAATGTCTAAGTATTTTTATACAACTCGATAAGAAAAAAATTTTAAGCTGGAATATGTATTGGATGTAATGATGCATTGATAAAATTAAAGTTAGACATGGATGATTTTGTTTAATTTCACTACTCTGTGCAGCAGTGAAATTATTAACTTATTTGAGCATGTCATAACAAAACAATGAGGGATCATAAAACAATGTCTCGAGTCGAAATAACACTGCCCTTGTGAAATCATCCCTTATTAACACAACTAACATTATATTAGATAGCTCTTCTATGGTTAATGTAAAATTTAATCTTCAACATTATTTCAAATTTTCATCTAATATTTTTTGTATGCATATAGTGGAAAACAAAAGTTTCAATTGAAATATAAACTTGACAATTTTAATTTGAAAAATTAAAATTTAAAAAACAATTTTACTTAACAAGATGCATGAGGTCTGCATGTCAGCCAGGTCAAGTTTAATAGAAGTGTAATAATCTTAAAAAGAAAAAATTATTCTAAAGAACCATAAATTAACCTAGTAAAATATGGGTTTTTATTATAAAAAGAAAATTTCCCAAAGAATTGGATTTTTTATGAAATTTAAGGCGAAGTACAATACTTAAAAGCAAAAAATACACAAAATTTAAAAATTTACTCCTGCATAAAAAATTTTATGTATACCTCACACAATGTTAGCCTTGTTTAAAAGAAGTGTGATTAGTTCAAAATACATAAAATTAATTATTTTTGTCTTTTGAACCCTGATCAATTACATTACCACTAATTTTGAACCCCGATATAAATGCAACAGAAATGATTTTAACACCATGCAGATTTGTTCATTATTAACCAGTACCCAATGATAGATACTTTACTAGATCTAGTGTAATTGTAATGTAATAAGTACATTTAATGTTACCATTTGATATGGTAAATTTCTATAAATTAACATTAAAAAAACTTGCACAGATTTCAGATAAACTATGAAAATGAGATGTGTACATTTTGAAAACACATAAAAATCAGTAATCACACATAAAAAGTAAGATGTGCACATAGAACTTTTAATCCTTAGGATTATCAGGCTGTTGATAATGTAAAGGTGTTCGCAAGGTTTCCAAAAGTTTTATGTAGTATGGCTCTAAAATGAAAAATTAAAGAATAAAGACTTATTCATAGTGTTATTATTTATAACTGCCTTGAAACTATGACAAATAATAAGAAATTAAAATTTTATTAAGCATAATCACAGATAAAAATAAAATTTAGCAAAAATATAATGTCTTCCATTGGTTAAAAAAATATCAATATTCTTTTCAAAAAAAAAATATGTAGAAGTGTAAAATTTTCATGTAAATTTTCCTTAATGGTTTAAAAAAATTATTATTTGAATACGTGATCTCACGTCTTGTAATAACATCCTAATTAAAGTAATGTGAAAAAGTCGAAAGCACATGGAAAAGCATTGCAATAATTGCAAAAAAAAAATTCGTAAATTTAGAATAAAATCAGCACGAATAAAGCGCATCAATAAGTTATTATTTAAATGTGTGATTTAATATTCGCATGCTGTAGTAAAAATCAGACTTTTCAAAGTAACAACTGCCTTTAAAAAAAGAAAAAAAATCATTGAGATTTATGAGGAAATTGGCACAAATAAAGCATGTCAAAAAGTGATAAATTAAATGTGTGATTTATAACTCACGAAACTTATTAACATAATAAATGTATCACGATTTTAAAAACTACATAGAAATTTGAAGTTATAAATACCAAAAAAACGAAGAAAACGTCACTGGGATTTACGACGAAATAGGCAAAAGTAAAATGAGTCGAAAAATTATTACTCAAATTCAAAATTAGCACAAGCAATTTATATACTATTTTAACAATTTACTATATCGATACGATATTAAAATTGAAACATCTTATCAAAAATATTTTTGATTGTCATTATATCGCATCAAAACATTTTTCGTAACATTGTATTCCCATTGCAAAAAAAGATTATATGTGGCTACCAGTCATGAATAACTCCTCTAAAATAAAATCCATGTTATTTTTATTTATTTAAAAAAAAGCATAATGACACAGATATGTGATCCTATAGATATTATGCAGAAAATTAGATTATAAAAAAGAAAGATTTTAAAAAAATAATGTTTAAAAATTGTCCAGTAGGCATATTTTGATTTAAATTTTTTAAGTGTCAACATCAAAAATAACTTACCTTCATCACAGTTTAAATAGCCATGCCTCACTAAAAAGTCCAGTGTAACTAAAGAACTAGTTAGTTTGAAATCTTCAGTAACTAATATTTTTTTTAACTGCAAAAAAGAAGAAAAAAAATCCCATACAAAATATAAGAAGATATTAGAAATAGGCAGGTATTTAAGTAACAAATTTAATAGATTAAGGGGTTAATCCAAAATTTAGTAGCACACATCCTTAAACTAGTTACTTATTCAACATTAAATATAAAGCAAATTCCATTTTTTCAATAGTCTAGCAGCAGAGTGCTGAAATTTGTAACTATAAATCATTTAAAAATAGAATTTAAAATAATATTTTTATTATTGCTCAAATTAATTTTTTTAATCTGTGTTCAGAGTTTCACAAATAATAGCTGAAAAATAAATTGTACAGTGGATGCTAAATACAATGACTCCTGTCATTTAAACAAAAATGGATGTTATATTGTGAATGCTTAATATAGGAAATATTAACTCTTAATAATCCAAAAAAGAGCTATATTACAATTACAAAGAATAAAAAATTAAAGGCTTATGTCACTTTTTGTTTATTGAAAGAGAATCCAAGATGTTTCACACATCATGTAAGATAAAATTAAAAGACATAATGATTTTAGTAAATTTCTTTAAAACCTTAGCAAAATCAAGACTAAACTTAGATTGCTTAACAGGAATAAATGGTTCAATACAGATGCTTTAATGGGCATTAAATTAGCATTATGACAATGGGATTATAAATGGGACACTTTATGTATGAGGCATTATAATGGAAGAGACAGAGAATTGAAGGATCACACTAGAGAATGAAGACTATAATTGTTTTAGTTCTTTTTAAAAATAGACAAGAACTGAAAAATAACAGCTGCTATTTTAGCTAATTATTTTTAAGCAATTAGATTAGTCAAAAACAATTGAAAAATAGTCTCTGAAAAATAGGCGGGAATATAGGTTTTTTAAACACTTAACAATAACTAACAATATCTGAATGAAAAATAATATCTAACAGCTATTTTCAACAAAAACAATGTGAAACTAGAACTGTAGGGGAGAGTTGGATAAAACGGGATAGTTGGACAAAACGGGATCTGTCGCCTAGGGACCAGACTATTACAGCTATCTAGTGGACAACGACAGAAGCGTGTTATTCGACCATGATTATATCATTCTCGGTGCGTCCCGCCTCGAGATCACTATTTGATAGAAAGTTGTAGGTCTCAGAACTTTTTTACTCTATTTTTTTGCCATTTTCTACATTTACGTGCGTTGTTTTTTACATTGTACTGCCTACATATATGGGAATAAAATTCCGGTGAGTATTAAATTTAATTAACCATTTATTTACCAATATTTTTATGTGCAGTCTATCTAATTTTCTTTTCATATTTACGCAGCAGCCATGTTTGTTTCAAAAAGTGTCGGAGTCGGACAAAACGGGACACTTGTGAGTTGGATAAAACGGGATAGAGTTTTTTATGTCCCGTTTTATCCACCTATTTATTTGTTGGATTATTACATTTTAAAATAGCCATATATTAATGTAGGCCTAGGCTTTTTAAACAACTTATTTATATTAGCTATATATATTTTTGAAAAATTTAGTCTCTTTATATAGTAATGCAAAATTTGTTTATTAACGTTCATTATTAAGCATTTTATTTTTGACTCTAGGATTTCACATCTTTCTTTAGAACTAATTGTAATGTATTTCTCTGATGAAGACTTGAGCTTTTTTATATATAAACTTCTTAATTTTCTGGATTGCTCAATTCAATCTGCATTCAATTCTAAAATGAATTCTTCTCTTTGTAACTGAAGAATTTAAATGCTTGATTATTAAAGAGTCTTTCAGGGATGTTACGACATCAATGGAGTGAATTAGAAATAAAAGTGAATTAGAAATGGAAGAAAAGGAAAGGATTATTAAACTACAAAAAAAGAACCAAGAGAATTGAAGAAAAGGCTGCTAAGAAATCTCTATTAAAAGCACAAGGCACCTCTCGACAACGGAAATTGCGAAAATAAGCCTTCATGTTTGAAAACTCATAGTCTTTAAAAACAAATGTAGCATCATATTTTTTTGTGTACTTACTTATAAAACAACAATCTATATAAAAGTGTTAGAACAGTAAAATCCCATGAATATAATTTATAGAAATTTTGCTTTGCAGTTCTCTGTCAGTTAATTATGCTTTTCACTTAGTTTTATGCAAAAAATTAAACATTGTAAGCCCTATCCCGTTTTATCCAACCCAGGTATGCTAAAACGGGATATTTAAGAGTTTGGAAATAAATTTTTTTTTCTATTTCACAGTCATTAAAATTAGTTCAAAATATGTTTTTTGTGTGCTTCAATAAATGTTGTAGCTACAAAAAAAATAATGTATGGTTTTCCTTAACAGATATTCCGTAGTAAATAAAAACAATAATGATATCCTGTTTTATCCAACTCTCCCCTACATACTCTTTAAAACTGCAAAAAAAAAAAAATTCTTGGTTTAAAAAACAAAAAAAAGGTAAAGAAAATTAAAACCTTTAACAAATAATTTACTATTTGAATATAATTACATACAAACAGCAGAAACACAAACTTCATACAGTTAATGTTCAAGTCATTAAAATTAAAAATCAAATCATGAGAAAATTTTATCCGCTACTTTAAGGCTGTTTTTCAAAGGCTCGGTTGTCATATGAAATTAAGCTTTTTTGCAAATAATATGCAATTTTCATAACTGCTGTGACTTTGCAGCAGATACTCCTAATGACTGTTAGGTCAAGTTTAGCCTATCTAAAGACATTGGTGTCCATGCTTATATATAAAATAGGACAAAACGTCAATATGGAGAAAAGTCACTGTTTTGGGAAAATGAAGAGCATTCGTTATCTAATTTTTTAATGTTTAAAAACTTACCACAATGCTGCATTATCTGGGCTCATAAAAATTTGCAAAAACTGAGAATAAGGCAGTGATATTGATAATTTTCATTTAGATGTAAAAATGTAACTAAATTGGCGATTTTTAAAAAAAGTTTAATAAATTTTAAAATATTTAAGTTATTTGTCCATTCTAAAGCCCAGATAATTCTTAACGGCAAGATAATATGTAGTTTAAAATCATCGCATTGCTTCAAGGATAAGGCACTTAAACTGCGGCTCTTTCATTTCCCTTGGTGACAGAGCTTTGGAGAGTGTTATGGAGAGTCCCATGAAATTTTAAAACTAATTACTAACTCACACAGAAGATGCACCTAAAGTTCACCCTAGCTATTACAAAAGAAAAAAATTATAATTATTTTAAAAGTTATAACAAATAAGATGTAAAATCAAACAGAATACTAGCAATAAAATTGGCTTTCGATAATTAAAAATTCATAATACCTCATCAACAGAGTATAAATGAAAGCTTTCTACTTCATTATCACTATTTGTAGGCATAAAATCTATAGGCAACTCTACATCAAAAGTAAACAGAGTCTCTGGGAAAATGCCCCTTTCATCTTCAAAAATAAATCTAAACATAAAGAAACAAAACATTTCATAAGACAAACTCTATTAAAAATTATCTGAAAGTCTGAAATTATACTTTTTTTGGGGGGCTATAAATGACTATTTTATAAGAAAATAATAATTAAAGAGCCAAGTGAGAAAACATATTAAATGGCATACTTAAAAAATTTCAAAAAATCACATTTGCCATATAGTTTAACAGTTAGGGAACAAAAACAAGCCCAATGCATAAAAAATTGCAAGCAAAGTTTATTGCTTTAACGGCTTTGGTAATAACTGAATATGAATTAGCTAAGTTTTCCCTCTCCAGGACGGTGAGCATCGGCTCCTAGGTAAAAAAATGTGAACTGAAAGATATTTCACAAACAAGGCTCTATATTAAAAGAAGTGTAAATGCATAAGTTTCAGATCTATAAATTCCGCATAAAGTAAGAACCAATATATTTTAGTTTGAAACATTGTGTAAACCTTGTGTTGTTGACCTAAACTGTCACCTTTTTTTTAAAAAATTCATTTTTCCCGCAATTAAAGCTGAAATGAAGTTAAAAGCATTTTGGTAACATTATTGTTTTGATTACTGACTACTTGCTTGGTATTTTGAGGGCCGTTTTTTAAATACAAAGTTACAACCAAATGAACTATCTTCAGTCCTTCCCGTCCTCTCCCATGTCAAGATGAGCGTAAGACAAGAAACAAGATGCAAAGTTTTTTAAAAGAAATCTTCAAAAAAATGGTGTTTTTAATGGATAGAAATCATTTTTAGTTCTATTTTTCTATCAATGGCAGATTCTTTGAGAATTCAATCAACAATTCTCAAAAAATTTTATTATCAATGCATTATAATTAAATAGCATTATTTAGAACGAAAATAATGTGACAACAGATTACTATTAAAAGAAAATATTTTTTAATTAAAAATAATAAAACTACCAGTCGAGTAGTGTTACCATAATGTAGTGAGAGATTGATAGAACGATCTCAATCATTCATATGGATGTTATAATGTGAGAAGTGTGTACAAAAATATGGTAAATATTTATAAAGAATAAAAAGTAGTGAACTCATTTTGACAAACCATGCAATATTAAAAAAATAAATAGGAAACTACAATAATGGTCGATAATAACACATGATTTTTTAATTAATTAGAAAGCTTATTTTTATACAAAAATACTATTACATATAATACAGAATGAGAGAAAAAGAGGACATGTTTTAACTTGAAAATGAACTGTCCAAGAAGATGAGAATTTAACAAAAAGAGAAAATAGAGTTTTCAAACAAAATAAATATGAAGATAACACATAAAAATATTGTTTTAAATATGTGTCTTAAACTGTAAAAAATAACTTTTTTTTTAAGTCTGCTGCAATACTTACGAAACTGTGCCAACTGGTATCATAGCATTCAATAATTCATCAGTCAATGATGCTTCTTCTTGAGCTTCTTTATGCACACATTCAAGAACTGTCATTCCCACAGAAAAACCCCCACTCACCTTTACAGGGAAAAAAAATCATGCAAATTTTTATTAGCTATCATAAAAAGCAAATTAACATTACATGTACATAAAAAGTATTTTTAAAGTAAGTACAGTTTTAAAATTAAAAACCAATAGGTGTATTTTTTCAAATAAATATTATTTAAACATGAAAGCTTCTTTCAACATATCTATTTCTTAACAAATACTACTTATATTTTTATACATAATCTACTTTTTAACATATTTGAGTTCAACAACATAGACACTGGTGTTTCAATTTTTAAAAAAAATTTTAAAAAATACAATAGCAGTTTAGACAGGAAATTTTTTTTTTTTAATTAACTAAAAAATTTATAAAAAACCGTCCATAGCAGTAAACCAAACTTTTGCCTTACATCATTGCAAAAGATTATATTTAAATGGAAATAGGCATTAGAGCTTGAATAAAATACTATTTTTAATAAAATAAAAGTCTAGTTACAAACTATTTGGCTAAAAGTAAAGAGAAGAAGGTATCAAAAATGCTAATTTTTCTACAACTGATATTTCATTTTAATGATCCAAAAATTAATATAAACATATTAGAAAAAAAAAAGATACCTGCTGACCAAGATAACCTCTTTTCAATGATTTAAAACATTATGCCAAAAACACGTTAAAATTGAAACCAATAATAAAAGAGATTGCTTATTAAAGTTGATTAATAGTTTAGTTCTTATTTGTTTTATTAAAAACTCTATACTTTCTAAGCAATGTTTTTTTTATAGAGCAGCCAAAGTAATAAATAGGTCTATTTTAAATCAACATCGACAATTTCATGGTAGCAGTCGTCAAATATAGCAATTACAAGCAATTGTTATAATTCAACGTAGTATTCACATTTTTTTTTCATAGTATTAACCTTACTATGATCTTACATACTTCTCTTTTAACCAAGACCATATTTAGTTTAAGCACAGATATATCGATAATTTACAAATTACTTTCATTTATTGACATGCCAATAACAAAAAAAAATATTTCGATTTGTCAAATTTAAAAAAAAGAAATAGGTTGATGACAAAGACTTACCATGTTATCAAGTTTGCCTGGCCATGTAGGTTTTGTATAAGCACGCTTTTGGATCCAGATAGATTTACTACCATCAACATTCTTTACAAAACCATTCACATGAACTCCACACCTTTTAATGCCAAACAAACCTAATAAAAAATTAAACACATTCAGAATAAAATTGATACTTTATTCTAAAATTGTATAACAAAATTGCAATAACAAAATAAAAATAAAACGTCTATGAATAATCAGTGCTTTGAAGAATGCAGTATAATTAGATTAGACCTGTCTTAACTTATGGATTCAAAATATATAATCTTTAACTAGATTACAAACAGACCTGCTCACTATTTTTGAAAGAAAAGCCACAAGAAAAATTTTTGGTGCTGGCTTGTGGAATCGACATAATTTTGAACTATAAAGGCTACTCAAAGAAGCTGATATCAACAAATATATCAAAATAAATCACCTTAAGCTTGTGGGTCAAATCTGTCGAATGGAACCTTCTGCTTTGACATTTAAGATCTTTAATTACAAACCAATGGGAATCAGAGTTAGAGGTAGGCTTAAGATCAAAAAAGAAGATCTAAGGCTTAAGATTAAAACATATTAAAAACAGTGTGAGCTAAATCAAAACTTCCTTATTAACACAACAAATTATTCAATAAATTTTGATAGATCCCTTGGATAGAATAGATAGAAAATTTATATAGATAGATAGAAAATTTGATAGATCCTAGATGACAAATATATTTTGGTATATTAAAATTAAAGTTCATGTTTTAAATACAAACATCATCTCTCTGAAGCCATATTCTCAAATTTTCTTGAAGTTCTTCAAATTTTCTTGAAATTTAAGTTCTTAAAAATACCTAATAATGTTTTTAAAAAGTTATTATCAATAGAAATTCAAACTACAATAAAAGATGTGCAACAATTAGGTCTTGATATCAATCATAATAGCATTCAAAACAAGACTTGAGTAACCATTACATGTTATTATAGGGCAATTTGAACAAACTGTCCTTTAAACATACAATTTTCAGTAATGGTTAATGGTAGTATTCCAAGAATAACTAATACAAATTCTATGTATATGCTTAATATATGTTGATAATTATGCTGTGTAATAACAGCAATCTGTTTTTAAGTAGCAGGGAAAAAAAGGATTTGAAACATTTGTAATTCCATAAGTAAATTAAAGTTCATTATCAGGCATAGATGCCAAGCTTTAGCCAGAGATCAATTTTAGGGTTTTTATTCCCACTTCTCTCGTTAGAAAAAAAGAAATAAATGAAAGTTAATTAATTAAAGAAAAATTAATTCTGGTGAAATTAAGATAATAATGGAAGTATAAAGCGTCCGTCAACTTGAAAAGGGATTCTAAATTTCAGTGACATAATCATGTAGTAAATTAACTTTAAATGTTATTGAATTCAGGACTCAAAGAAATAACATCATTGGCAACATTGATTAATTAATCATTAATGATCATTAATTTCTAAACTATATAAATTAGGGAAAAAACTATATATATATATATATATATA